CACACACACACCCTGCGACGAAGTGCTCGCAACGGCACTGAGTATATATCTTTTGAAAACAGGCGAGGGGTTATTGCATGCATGTATTTCTAGTTTATTATATAAAGTATGGTGCTTTATAGAAATTTCGAGTACTGATAAAAGCCGGTTTTCCACTAGGCGGAATTTTGTGCGCGTAGCGGAATTTTTCTTTGCCTTTTCTAATTAGTTCCACCCGAGAAATCACAAGACAAAGAGAAATTCCGCTCCGCGCGCAAAATTCCGCCTAGTGGAAAACGGCCTTAAGCGTGACAATCTTGTGCGTTGTTAATACTTTGCATGTGCTTATATTGTATTACATGCAAAAACACCATACCATCCCATTTTTTCCATCGTCGTCGGAGACAACTTCGTCCCGCGGCTCATGGCTAGTTTCCCCGTTGTCTGACGTTTCTATTTGTAAATCAAGACAAATAACCTGAACAATTAACGGTGCCTAAAAGGTTTGTGTTTTACAAATCCTATAATTTTACGCTTTCTATCCTTATAGCGTACTTAATCAGTCTAGGACCTGCATATAGGAGTTTGTATGCGTTTCATTTAGCATAGGTAATATAACTTTTTTAGGGTAAGATGAAGTTTATACTATTCGAACTTAATGATTCTTAGATACGAGTAATGTCCATGCAATACAGGCATCGATATCTGATGTCTGATGGTGAAGATGGTGTATGATGGTCGAAGTGTGTCAGATGGTGTATGATGGTGTAAGGTGGTTGTACAGGGAAGGGTTGTTAGATGGTGTATGATGGTCATGCAAAGTGTGTCAGATGGTTGTCAGATGGTGTATGATGATGTAGGGTGATTATACAGGGAAGGGTTGTCAGATGAAGATTGTGTATGATGGTCGAAGTGTGTCAGATGGTTGTCAGATAGTTGTCAGATGGTGTACACACACCCTGAGACGAAGTGCTCGCAACGGCACTGAGTAATACATCTTTTGAAAACAGGCGAGGGGTTATTGCATGCATGTATTTCTAGTTTTAAAATTATGATGCAATTTCAGGGTGAGGGTAAAGCATATGTTTGTGCCTAAACCTTTAAACATTTGGTTTGGAATGAATATATTTATATGGTGAACTAGTGCTATGAATTATTAAATTTCATAATGGAAACATTTTGCATTTAAAAATAGACGAAATAATTATCTAGATCAAAACAACGAAAGCATACTGAACTAAATGCAATATAAATAAAATTAACTTGGTCAAACTTGCCATGTGCCATGTCTAAAAATTGTCTTATTAATTAATGCATGAATGAAACAATTGCCTGGTTTGATATTTAAATTGATTATAGTGCAATATTTCCATACTGTTTATTTTCCAATTTCAATAAATGTTATTACATTTCTTATTCAAATTATTCAAACAATACAATTTTCAATGACATATAAATATTAAATTATGTAAATATATAAAATTTACTAAAATAGTCCATCCACCCTTTTTGAGGTTGACCTGTGGGGTCACAGGAATTTTAAAGAAATGTCTCTCCAACTTGAAAGAGTCTTTACAAGCGAGAAGAGTTACAGTTACCAGCCATCTTAAACCTGTGTTAGTCGAAATCGCTACGTCTGTTGAGAAAATGATCATCCCAATCGATCTAAATTTTGAAAAGCTTACTGAACAGGATTTAAAATTAATCGTTCATGGAATAGAGATCGATGATCCATTGTCTGGGGCTCACAAATACATAAATGATTTCATCGAGTCGCCACCATTTGTTATTTTGCACATATTTAACCAACTTATATACAACTCGACTGAATACGACAAACAAGGACTAGCTGCTTTATAAAGCATTCGATGATTATCTTTTATTTGAAGAGGGGTATGTAGAATCTTTGTTGACTAAACCATTGCCAAGTGTAGGGGTGCATTTATATGTGGGTAAAGTTCAACCCAGCATGAAAAAAAACTGATGATGTAGGAGGAAAGGCATTCTACGAATTGTGGTTTATTTTAGAGGGTAAAGGTGCAAGCAACAGTGTGGATGTATGTGGTGATGGGCGGTGCAATAGTCCTGGGCATTCCACTAAATATGGCATATATACCCTGATGGATGAGAAATGAATTTAGCCCTGTTCAAGTGACAGAGTTAACATCATCTAATGCAATGGAATACAAAAGCTTTAAGAGAACACTAAATTCAATTATCAAGAAGAAGATTCCAATCCGATGTCTTACAACAGATCTTCACACAACAATCACAGCGAAGATGAGGACAAACTATTTGAACATTGTTCACCAGTGGTATCTTAGCAAGTGGGTGACCAAAAAGCTGTCAAAGAAGGCAAAAAAGAGAGATTGTCAAGAGTTACTGCCATTGATCCAGAGTGTTTCCAACCATTTATGGTGGTGCTCTGTAACATGCGAGCAGAATGCAGATGTCCTAAGGGAGAAGTGGTTGTCCTTGTTGCATCACATCACTGGTAAACACTCTTTGAGGGCCTCCAAGGAATTTAAATTAGTAAAAAAATGTGGCCACGCTAGAATAAGAAGACCAAAAATAAATTGATTGTTTGGGTTGAAAATTGTTCCCCTGCTCATGTTGCTTTGGAGGAAGTTGTCACAAACACAAAAAGCTGCTGAAAGATCTGGCAAAGCTAACAAAATTCCACCACACTGGTGAGTTAGAGTCATACCATTCCCTTATGACAAAATATGCACATAAACATGAGCACTTTTGTTATAATAGAATGGTGGCTCGAAATCAGCTAATGGCAAATGTGAACAGAACTCAGGCAGTAGTGAAGAAGGGATCAAAGCCAGGCGAGAAAAGGTTCAAGATTTTTTGTGGCAAGCAGAGAAAGAACTGGGTGGCTAAGGAGATTAACACCCGTATTCTAAAAGCTCACTCACACTCAATGAGTGGAGGTTCAATCTGATCTTTTCTTGAGGGTCAATGCTGTTTTTGAATAGCTTGAGGGCTAGTGTCATACCTTACTATGTGATTACTCATCCTCAAGCTATTCAAAAACAGCGTTGACACTCAATAGAAGCTCAGATTGAACCTCCACTCATTGAGTTTGAGTGAGCTTTAAAAATACGGGCGTAAGAACCCAAAATCCTACAGCTATGTTGAGGGCATGACGAATGATGTAATGTCGTGTAAGAAAAGGAAGCCAAGTCTTGTAACAGAAATGACAGACATTTTTAATATATGAACTGGGAGTTTATATATTAAAGTTGATAAAGATGGCAAATACCTCACATTTTTTAACACAGAACAATCAAGTTATTCATCTGGGGCCGTTTGTACGAAGGTCGGATAGCGCTATCCACCAGATAGTGATTTTTTCAACCTTTGTAAAATGCTTGAAAAACTGTGAAACTACGGATATAGATGACACAAGAAGTATAAAAAACCCATTTAACTTATAAATACTATACTTTAATACGAGTTATACCAATCAACGACTGATTTAACAAAGGTTGAACAAATCACTATCCGGTGGATAGCGCTATCCAGCCTTCGTACAACCGGCCCCAGCCCCATTAGCTTCGAAATTTGTATGTCTTTCCCATAGGTTTGAATATTTGTTATTTGTCTTTTGTTTCAAAGAGAATGCAGAAACTACCAAATCTTTCTTTTCAAAAAACCGGGGGGTGAAAACTGTGGCGGGCACATAATTGAGCCTTGGCCAGTGGGAATTACCATGAATTTAGGGACCTGAAGTCATGGAAATGGCATTATTTTGCCTCAAAATCCACCATGTTTTTGGCTTCACTTCGTTGACTGAACAAAGAATAGGAGCAGGTCCTCCAGTTATTATACAGCTCAGGGTTGCAATCCCCCCTGTTAAAAGACTTGAACTAGTAGAATAATTGTATATAACAACATGACGTTTCCTGAACAAAATGGCAGAAATTTTAATAACAAATATTGATGTTTGATCATAACATTTTTTAAAAAACTGCAGATTTGTACTCGTGACCACAAGTGAATTCTTACTCAGCGTGTAAAAATCTACAAATATTTGCAAATTATAATTAGTGCTTGACAAAGCCAGCAAAACTAAACAAACACTGGTCATAGAATATGGCCCAATATGTTAATTTTGAAAATTAGAGTTGGAGAAAATGCTTCAAGATATGGTTCAGTGTTGGGGAAAACCCTGATGGGTTCTGGAGAAACATTGTGCAAAAGTGTGGTCTTTCTAACCCTTATACTACACGAAGGACTACTTATGGCACAAGAACTAGGCCAGCTTGCAAGAATGATTTTGGCACATTGAAGATTCTCATGAAGAAGGCGAGGTAAATGAATTAATTACATTCTTCTCATATGTATGGGAAAAATGAAATCCCTTTAAGGTGGCTCTATATAGTTATCACAAAAACCCGGCTCAAGAATTGCAAACAAAACCGGGTGACCAGTTTTACGCATAGGTCACAGAAACCCATTAACAAAATGAAAGAACTTCCAAAATGACCTGACGTGGACAGTTGTTCGCGCCATTGCGTGTATTCTATAGCGTTTTATGTCAATTGCCAACGTCATTAGAATTTTCCATTTTAGAAACACAATGTGCTATATCTCTATTTTGTCTGGTGACCTCTGTTCAAATTTCGCATGCTGTATTGCACCGCTAAAAACTTTCATTATACAAAAAATAAAAAATTCTGTAATGCCAAACCGGTGAATATGACATTTTCCAAAAAAATGGCATTGCAGAATTTTTTTATATTTTGCTAATTGTTAGCTTTTCGTCTAAGTATAATAATGCACGGAAAAAAATTGGGGACACAGAATAAAGATCTATATAGAAGGGCCACTTACGTCGGAAGCTTTGAAGTTTCTGTCCTCGTGCATTGTGCATTTTGGCTGCCATTTTCCTAGCCAGTCAATGGCATTTTCTGGCCAATAAAATACGCTGTAGTGGCTGACTGCTCTGACTGCATATTTTGCATAAAAAAACGAGGACATGTTGCACCGCTGAGTGGCCCTTCTGTCACTAATCTTTATTCTTCTTTTCCAACTATACGACAATGGACCATTTTGGAGTGAATTTTGTGCATGTATGTCATAGCAACGAACTATTTGTTACTAAAACTAATATAATTTGAAAGTAGAGATATAAAAAAATGTCAAAAGCATGCTTATAATTAAAAAGCATTTATTATATGGAATGCAGTTCTCAGGGTAGAAAACATATGGCCAAACACCAAATTGAACCTTCCTAATCTATTTAAACTCAAACCTGATTAATCATAAATTTTTAGGACATCCTTTACTCTATCTGTCATAATAGTGATGACACTAAAAAGGCAAAAATCCTTGTCATGATGTATTGTTTCAATAGCTGTAAGATATCACTAAGAGTAACAAACAGATGCTTGTCTGTTCAGTACATCGCCATATAGGGGTTATTTCAAAACGTTTGGGGAAGCAGACTAAAACAAAAGAACAGAGATGATTAAGGCAGTGAGTGCAGACATGCCAACCTAGCTTGGTTAAAAATCGTGAGATTTGTGTTTTTCTTTTCCAAAAAAGCGTGAGAAATGGTCAAAAAGCGTGAGACAACAAGTATATTGTAAAATATAGACTGTATGGCTTTTTTAAAGTTGTTGCTATCCACAAATAATATTACAGCCGATTCAGTTTGAGCGTTTAAGGTGTGTGTTTGTCGCGATCGTTGTTGACGTTGGAATGCGACGTTTCTAGCCGGGAAAACGGTCGTTTCTAGGTGTGCGATGGTTTGTTTCCATTGGCAAAAAAATACTTTGCTTTGTAAATAGCACAACTTGTACTTTAGCCATATT